GCATTGCTGTCAAAAATTGCGAGTGTCTTGGCTCGGTGAGCATGACTAATGGCAAGAATGTGTTAAGTAGTTCAAGTGACAGGAATTCTATTTATTGAACTTTAGCGGCAATCCTCAAAAGTTCAAAATGCCATATTTTCATTTTTGTCCATGTGTGTGTGTGTGTGTGTGTGTGTGTGTGTGTGTGGTGTGGTGGAAATAGTTTTGGCGTTTCCTACTGTGTTGCAATGTGGAGGGTAACCTGAGAAGTAAAAACGATAATAATAATAATAATCGCAAAATAAACAAGAATTTTACATGAGTGTTTATATATATATATATATATATATATATATGATATGCGGGCACCTCGATGTGATCTAAAGGGTTAGAAAGCTTGTCTCGCTAGATCAGTTATGACTGTGTATGTAGTGAGTTCGATCCTTACTGGGTGCTCCATAATTTGGGTCTTGTGCCACATCTAAGCTATACTTAGTAAATCACTGTATATGTGCTATGGCTCAGTGAGTAGACAGGTGTGCAAGAATTTATGATTGTGTGTGTAGATATAGCGATTATCGCCTTAATAATAATAATAATAATAATAATAATAATAATAATAATAATAATAATAATAATAATAATTCCATTAGTAAAATGAATAAGGACGTTAAATGTGCTCGTGCGTGTGTGACTGTGTGGTTGTGGATGATCCTTGGTAAATGTGCCTTGTCAGAGTATTTTGGCACATAAGTCTAAACGCCCACGGAGTGGCATCTGTCTTGACGTGGGGTCAGATTTGATTTGATTTGATGGGTTTTCTGGCATATCAACCCTGTGGGTCATTTAATGCCAAATCCCGTGTATACGTATACATTATATATGTAAGATTTCTACATGAATAGTTTGTACATTGTTTTTCCTCTTTGTTTGGCATAGAGTAAATATTTATCTACAAAGTAACATCAAGTTTCTACATCCTTTGATATAGTCCCACGAGGTGGGGTCAGGTATTTATTAGCGATAAATTGTTTTTCTGTTTCTTAGGGTGAGTTTGGTTTAACTAATGTGATCTTCATTACATCCTTTATATTTAATAGCATATATTAAATTTTTTTGATGAAGAGGTGAATATATTTTACAAAAAAAATCTTGATTTAAATTTATACATTGTGTCTTCAATGAGGTTAATACCCATTAAACCTGCAATTAGGACGACCACACTTTTTGAAAGTTGAGGCTGGATTTGTGGTATACTTTACCACTGGTGAGGATATATATATATATATATATATATATATATATATATGTGTGTGTGTGTGTGTGTGTGTGTGTGTGTGTGTGTGTGTGTGTGTGTGTGTGTGTGTGTGTGTGTGTGTGTAAAAATTTCAGATAGAGTCTATCTATAAAGGGACTTTATCAAAGGATGTATAAAGACAAAAAGAAAACTTATCTTAGTGAACACGGTTATCCCCCCACTGGGGGACTTTATCAAGCCAAATATCGGCTATAATAAGTTTATCTTTATTCATATATATATATATACGTATAAAGTACGTACTTATAAAGAAACGCGATACCCTAAGGTTTAAAATTAATTTTTAAAAATGAAAGATTTTTCTTGAACCTTTTATTTTAGTTTTAATTTCAAACTTATACATAAAATCTAATATAAGGAAAATACTTAGCTATATTTCAAAACTAATTTAAATTAACTGGAAGGAGTTTTTTAATCTCTAAACATCGCTTAATTTCGACATTTTTAGCCATCTGTCAGCACAAATTAATTCTCTTTATGAAAAAAAGCACGAGGATGAATCGTATATAGGAGTTCCATTTGAGGTCGGGTGTGTGTTGAAGGCCCAATATCTTCTCAAAGCACGAGGTCTCCTCGAGGGGACATCTGATCATGGTAGTTCAGAGTCTGATCGGCAGTGATGGAATGTAACATGTTTGGTTATCGAGGCATTGAATGTAACCAGCAATTTTTTCACCACTGTTAGATCGGAAGCCATTTTTCACCACTGTTAGATCGGAAGCCATTTTTTTCACCACTGTTAGATCGGAAGAGATGTCAGCTGCCAATCTTTGATCGTTAAGAGCTTTAAAGGTGCACCCGTTTATCGACGTATCATCAGATGTTTACAAATTATCGAATTATATTCTTAGATAGATCATTTATATAAATTTAGAAAGAGAGTTGGTCCGAGAAGTGTCCCCTGGGGGGGGACGCCTACGTTGACTGTCAGGGCCTCGGAGGACTGGCCGTTAATATGAAAACCCTTCAGCGATTCTATAGCTTGTGCAGCAAACCTTTTTGTCACACCTTTTCGAAGACCTTTAAGATATCTAATGCTATGGTTCTTGCACTGTGTGTCATCATGGTCCTCACTAAGTCTGTGAGTGTATATATATATATATATATATATATATATATATATATATATATATATATATATAGAGAGAGAGAGAGAGAGAGAGAGAGAGAGAGACGCATTTATATATATGTATATCTATCAATCTATAGATAGATAGATAGATAGATAGATAGATAAATTCCCAGATCAGTTCTGTGGACAGGACAGATTGGTATAAAATGACAATCGAAAAACTCTTAGATTTTTGCCGACGAGGTTCGTCTTCCGACTTTTTCAAAGCAAAAAATGAAATCGAAATGTTTTTTGTTGTTATAGTTACATTAAAAAGTCCAAATTTAAAAAGATAGACGATTCTGTCTAAGCATTTTTTCTGGTTAATATAAATTACCTGTATAGTAAGGGATTTTTTTTCCATGTCGACAATGTAGTTAAATTCCCAGATCAATTCTGTGGACAAGACAGATTGGTATAAAATAACAATTGGAAAAAAATCTTAGATTTTGCCGACGCGTTTCGTCTTGATCTGGGAATTTAACAATATTGTCGACATGGAAAAATAATCCCTTACTATAAAGGTAATTTACATTAACCAGAAAAAAATGGCTTAGACAGAAGCGTCTATCTTTTTAAATTTGAATTTTTTAATGTAACTATAACAACAAAAACATTTCGATTTCATTTTTGCCTTGAAAAAGTCGGAAGACGAACCGCGTCGGCAAAAATCTAAGATTTATTTCAATTGTCATTTTTTATATATATATATATATATATATATATATATATATATATATATATATATATATATATATTCTGTATATACGTTATTTTATGCATACAAATATTTAAGTAAATGCTCTGTTTATAATAAACAGTATTAACAATATTTACCGGCCTGAATGTCCAAGAAATTTTCATAGACAATACGTGTCCCCCACTAGGAATCGAACCTGTATTCTACACAGAACCGTCATATAGCCCGACGTGCTATATAAGTTTAGCTACAGAGGAGCGACTGGTTAGCAAGATCGATTTTACTGCTTTTAAACTACAACTTTCTATGTTTTCCCTCGAACATTCATGTCTGCTCGATGCGTATCCAAACGTAAACAAATGACGTCACACATTACGAAATGGACAAAGTCTGACAATTATTTTTATATTTTTAAGTTATCTTCTTTTTATACGTTATTTTTATGGAAACAAATACTTAAGTAAATGCTCTGTTTATAATGTATATATATATATATGTATATATGAATGCCTTTATATATGTGCCTGTTTAAATATATGTCTCTAAGTGTATTCACATAGATTTCTGTATATACAATACAAATAATATATACGTATTTATAATATATATATATATATATATATATATATATGTGTGTGTGTGTGTGTGTGTGTGTGTGCGTGTGTGTATGTGTGCGTATTTATTTATATAACATGTATTTATATATGTCACCATTGGTGTGCGTGTGTACAATTCTATTCTCGTATGTAATTGGAAACGAATAAGACAGCTAAAATTCTTTCCCTCTTAAGAAAATCCGTCAAAAACAGAATCTTGCATGGTAGAGAATTTTTGAGAATGTCTTCTGCTGAACAAATTGAAATTTTTGTACCTTTTGTTTGATTTGAAAGGTTACTGGCTCTCAGAATGTAAAATCCGGATGGGAAGCTTAATATTTTTTTCATTCAATGTCAGTTCATTTCGGACGCCATGATTGGGAAAGCTTCCACCCATCATGAAATTCTTGTTTATTCTGATCATTGTAAGGAGTGTGGCAAAGTAATGAAAAAAGAGAGAAAGAATATTTACAGTAAAAACGATAGAAAGAAAGTAAAACCTGTACAATAAAAAATAGTAAAAAGAAAGGAACTGTACCGTCAAAACTGAAAAATTAACAAACTGTACAGTAAAAAAAAGAAAGCAAGAAAGTAAGAAAGAAAGAAAAAGCTGACAAAGATAAAACAAAGAAACTCTACACCACAAACGAAAAACTGTACTGTAAAAAGAAAGAAAGAAGGAAAGAAACTGTACAGTAAAATCGAAAAAAATTAAACAATCTTTACAGTAAAAAGAAAGAAAGAAAGAAAGAAAGCGAGAAAGAAAAAAGAAAGAAAAACTGTACAATAAAATCGAAAAAATTAAATAATATGTACAATAAAATCAAAGAAACTCTACCCCACAAACGAAAAACAGTACAGCAAAAAGAAAGAAGGAAAGAAACTGTACAGCAAAAACGAAAAGAAAAAACAAATTTTACATTAAAAATTAAGCAAAAAAGTACGAAAGAATGATAGTAACTTTACAGTAAAAAGATGATGAGTTCGTCCGTAAACTTGTGGCGCCAAACGCACCCACTGATTGGAGGAAGCGCCGAGGTGGTCAACTCAAGACGTGGCTCGCAACGGTTAAAAAAGATATGGAACTCATGTCCGGTCCTCGCGTTTTCGGGGTCCGACGCTGGAATCGCGAATGGCTCGATCATGCCGTCGATTCTGCAGCCGATCGACGGGGGTGGATGGCCTTGACGCGCGATGCGGTTAATTCAATTGGATCCGGCTCAACCCACCCCGGGTGAATGCCGTTACAAGACAAGAAGAGAGAGTAAAAAGAAAGAAAAAAAGAAAGAAACTGTATAGTAAAACTGAAAGATAGAAAGGATAACCCTTGGACACAGCACAGTTTCTTATCCGAAATTTCAGATACAGTGTAACCCGGATATAAGAGAGTTGTCGGAACCGGAGAAGAAGTCTCTTATATCCGGGTTTCTCTTATATCCGGGTTTGGTTTATTATATATACATTAACACAGGCTCTAATTTGGGGCCAGAGAAAATCTCTCTTATATCCGGGTTTCTCTTATATCCGGGTTACACTGTATAAGATTGGGCATCTGTAAAGTAAAAGAAAGAAAAACACATGCAAACGTAAAATAAGTGTAAAAAGAAAGAAAGAAAGAAAGAAAGAAAGAAAGAAAGACGAATAATAAAATTTGGATAAGAATAAAGGAAAGAAAGAAAGAATTATAATGAATAAAAGGAAATAAGAAACAACGGAAAAGATACGAAAATACAGAAAGTAGAAAATGAAAAGACAAGGTTGGGAAACCATGAAAAAAAAGAAGATAGACATTTTGATTCATTTTCTACGGTTTATCAAGCTTTGTGGGTTATTTAAAAATAGAAAATATTTTTAGAATTTAAGAATCTTTTGGTGGGATTTTTTAACGAGTTAGTGATACAAGTTTTAATAATCCGGAAGTGAATATAAGGAACTCGACTAGAATTGGAACTCGGCTCTCCGATTAACAATTCCGAGCCATTACATCACCTGGTATTCCCAAGCAGTCACCCATCTAGGTACTGACAAAGTTCGACGTTGCTTAACTTCGGTGATCACATGGGAACCAATTTTCAACATGATATGGTCGATAGATAGATAGATAGATAGATAGATAGATAGATAGATAGATAGATAGATAGATAGATAGATAGATCTGAACAAGAGAGAAAGAAACAAACAAAATGCACTAAACCAAAAAAAAAGAATAAAAAATGAAAAATAAAGAACAAAAGTAGGAAGAAAATAAGGTAAACAAAAGGAAATCTAATCAAAATGAAAGAAAATGGTTAGAAGAAAGAAAGAAGGAAGGAAAACGATAGCACCAAAGAAAAAGGCGTGTAACAGAAATAGAAAAACTACGAAGAAATAAGGAAACATAATTTCGAAACGTAAGGAAAACTTAGAGACTTGCACTGCGTTACGAAATCTGCTGTTAAAAATAGGGTACCGAAAAAGCGTTCTAATCTAGTCTCATTGGCGTCCATTTAATTTGTCCTGTTCGTCTTCAGTTCGACGTGAACAGAAATACGAAATTATCTGCTGATTTAGGTGACGAATTGAAAAAAAAAATAGCAAATAAGAAAATTCCCTCTACCAAAAAAAAAAAAAAAAGTCCGATTTCCAACCGGATGTATTTATCGGATGCTTACATGAACCGGAATATTTTCTTTCTTTTTTCTTGTCATCCAAACGCTCTCTGTCTGTTTGCAAACATCTCGACAAATAAGTATGGACAAATTGCCGGCCTTTTCCGCCATTAACGGAAGTAATGACTTGCATTTTTTTTCACCCTCTCTCAGTTCCGGATATTGTCGTTGTCATTATTTTAAATATTTTTTTTTTCTTTCTTTTTATTTCTGTCTTTTACTTTATTTTTGTATTTTTTTTTAATTCTTTTTTTTTACAGGAGAGCTTTATTTTAAAGCCTGCATTTCTATTTACTTTCATAGTTTTTTTTGTTTGTTTGTTTTTTTCTCGGGTTTTCGTTTCTTTTGTCCATAAAGACTTTAGAAAACGAGATTTTTTTTTCTTGCCAAATCTCGCCAAACAGTTTGTCGGTGATTGGAAAAATGTCTTTGTTTTGTTCTTTATAACTGGACAACAAATTCAGTGTTTTTAAAAAATAAATAAAAACCCTTGAAGATAAGGTGGTTGATAGGCTACAACTGCGCATGCATCGGAACAGACCAATTCTGTTAGATGCAGCAAAAAAATCTCGTTTGTTTTCCCTGGGGATATAACCCAGGAACACATTATATCCATGCGTCTCTTTTTCGACTTATCGTACCTGGGAATCAACCAACATGATCAGAATTAAAGTAAAGTTGGTAATCTTATTTTGTTGTTGTTTCTTCATACTTTTTAGTACTTTGAGAAAAGTATTACCAATCAAAGAGTTTCCTGGTCCATTAATCTTATTCACTTGTGTTGCATTGTTGCCTCCATAACATTTTGGTTCATCCATTCTACAACCTTCTTCAGCTGTACAAATCGCATGAAAAATTAGTTTTTGCCATTTTAAGAAGATTTACTATCACTCCAAGTGTTGCTCGGACTATTGATCTCATTCTTTTTGCTGCCACCGCAATGCTTTGCCCGATCCATTCTACAGCCTTCTTCAGTGATACTTAAGAAAGAAACTAGAAAAGTTATAGTGACAGTTACAGTGTAAGGCTCAATTCACACCCCCCACACACACATATAAAAAAAGGTTGGTATCCGAACTACTCTATTATCAGCAACGCGCGTAATCCAAGTTATTCTATATTTTTATACAGGGAAAGATATAAATCCATCTATTCTCCCCTCCAGTTATGGGTAAAATAGCAGGACAGACTGGGTCCTATAGCCTCGTGTGGCAACCAGTTTAGGAGAAGGACAAATCTGAAATGAAAACTTGAGGAGGGTTGTTTGAGGAAATTGTGGCACACTATGTGCACTAGTTCTTTGTCTGTCTGTTTAGCGGCTTATGGGTTATTTAATGTCGAAATTTAATTTACATGGGAACATTGATACTTTCTTTGACAAAATGTATTGCTGGTAATTTTGTTTTTGTTGTTACAAAAATGTATTGCTCATAAGATTTTTTTTACTATGTAAATGTATTGCTCGTATTTTTACTATGAAAATGTTTATACTTTCATAGTGTTTTGACCCCAGTTGAGTGGGGGGGGGTGACCTATAGCTCGGACCCGAACAACAGTGACACTCTACTGAAAACCTCCTGATCGGAGGCCTTGCTGCCGGATGCAGTTTATCGTCATGCTTAAGACGGACCAGTTATCTGTAATCCGTTCTTCGAAAAAATGTTTGCTTCTGTACAAGCCTTCATTCCTATAATCAAATCATATGTGCGAGTAGGCTAAGTGCTTGGTACTAATAAGTTAGCTGCTGGTCCCTTATACGTCGAAAAACGACGGAAGAGTTCTTTGCGCGCAGGCACGCACACACACACGTATATATATATATATATATATATATATATATATATAGATAGATAGATAGATAGATAGATAGATACACACACACACACATATATATATATATATATATATATATATATATATATATATATATATATATATATAAGGTATATCAAAAATACGTTTACAAATTTTCTGGGGTATTCTTCACACAAGGACAAAAATTCGCAAATCCTTCGTTTTTTGACTTATTAAGTTTAAAGAAAGCTTACTGTAGATGGCGCTGTGCTGCCATGTAGACTGGGTTACATTTGTCATTCGTATACATTTGTGGTTAGTCTGTCTTTACCGTGTATAGTAGTGAGTTAACTAAGAAGTGTTCCATTTAACAATGGCAGGATATTCATATCGTGAGCAGGCAGATATGATTTTTGCATGTGGCCACGCGAATGGTAATGGACACGAGGCTGCACGGCTGTATCAGATTGCGTTTCCAGACCGAAGGCAACCGAGTCATCTAAGCTTTGCTGCTGTTTATCTTCATGTTGCTGAGACAGGATCCGTGGCACCACAGACTATGGATCGATGGAGATCGAAATCCGCTCGTACGCCTATCCACGGAGAACACGTTCTACAGGTTGTCAGAGACGATCCTGATATCAGCACATGTCAAAGTGGCCCTAGCGTGCCATACATCTCATAGTACAGCATGGAGGGTACCTCAAGGCCAGCTCCTGTATCCGTATCATTTGCAACGTGTGCAGAGTATTTCGCCCTTTCATCACTCATCACGGGAGAAAATTTTCCCGATGGTTTATTGCCGATCAGTCTTGTTTGCAGATGAAGCAACATTTGGAAGAGATGGAATAACAAATTTACACAACCAGCATTTGTGGAAGGATCGGAGTCCCCATGGTACAATACAAGCTAGACACCAGCATCAGTTTACGATTAATGTGTGGGCTGGAATTATAGGTGACTGTCTGGTAGGTCCATATGTTCTCCCAGTACGTCTTACAGGAGCTGTCTACAAGGACTTTATTTCGAATACACTTCCAAACTTGCTAAAGGATGTACCCCTGTTAATACGAAGACACATGTGGTTCATGCATGATGGGACTCCAGCACATTTTAATCACATTGTTCGTCATGCACTGGCTAACATCTACCATGAAAGATGGATAGGTAGAGGATCAGTTCCAGATTCTGCACGTTCCCCCGGCCTCAGTCCTTTGGATTTATATCCATGAAGCCACTTAAAACAATTAGTTTATACAGCAGACATTAATAATGCAGAGATGCTTCATCAATGTGTCATGTGAGCCTGCGAAACCATTCGCCACCGTGTGAGAGTATTTGAAAGGGTCCGCTAGTCAATGATCCGACGGGTGTATGCGTGTCTAGAAGCAAGTGAACGATGGAAATATGTTTATATGGATATTTTATCTTGTTTTGGCGTGAGAAACCTGCCTTCAAAGTTTATAAAAGTATTCTTGGATTATATCTTAAATTGTACATTTGACAACGCTTATCGTAAACTTTAAAACATAATAACTCAAAAACGAAGGATTTGGTTACTTATGTCTATATGGACTTTTGTCCATGTTTTGGGGTGAGGAACCAGTCCACAAAGTTTGTAAAAGTATTTATGATACGCCCAGTATATACACACAATTTATGTGTAATTCGAATGATAGATGCCTTTTTTATTTGTCTGTCTCTTGTGATTTTTAGCCGTTCATTACTATGGATGTTATTAATTCTATCGCTAAGAAGTAATTAATCAAAGATAATAAAACAATACAGCTCAGAATAAAATGAATATTAAATGAGTCAAAAACTTTGCCTAACCATATTAACCTTGATTACCTAATTGATTAATGTGTCACACATAAAAGACGATCTGTCGAAGTATGAGATGAGAATTTGAGTCTTATTTGCGGCTTCTTAATTCAATGTATCGGATGAAAAAGATTATCGGCTGAAGAAGATTATCGGCTGAAAAGGATCGATTAAAATGTTCTTCTTATATATTAATCTATTCTATATAATATTCTGTATAGAGCAGAACGGAAAGAATACTTTGGTGAGGCACTAAATGAAAGCGGAAAAAGGACTGAATATTAATTGTAAAAAAAAAAAAAAAAAAAAAAAAACAATGGATGGTCGTCGACATAATATGCAGCCCAAGATGTTAGCTACCTATCGGGGCCACTATAAGGAAACAGGTCCAGAAATGTAACTATCTGATTAATATAGTAACAGACGACCGGAAACGTGGCCAAATTTGAAGACACATGGAAATAGCGAACGATGCCTTCTAGAAACCAAGCAAAGTATTAATACATAGAAAAATCTCGTTAGAAACATAGAAAATAGTATTGAACTGCTCACTCCGTAATATCTACTTTCCTATATGCCAGTGAATGCTGAACAATCTCTTTACAGACGAAGAAGAAACTTTAAGCGATAGAAATGTGCTTCTATAGACGGTTGCTAGGAAAACTGTGAACAGAACATGTGAACAAGGAGGAAATCTTAAGGAAATAAAAAAAAACAAGGAAACATAACTGCAATCCGAAAAAGACAATTTCAATTTCAGGGGCACATAATGAAGAGGGTTCGGTGAATTTAAAGAAAGAAAGAAAGATAAATAGGCTACTTAATGTTATACCATAATACCTATTCTATTGTAATAGACTCTCCCACAGATAATAAGTAGTAGTAGCAGTGGCCAGTTGGGCTCAGTGGTGTTGAGTGAGTCTGTCGGACATTGAAGTATCAACCATCACAACTAGATTGCTGCGTCATTAACTCTTATTTCAAGTTCCTAACGTTTTGTACGTCGAACCTAATTTAGGACGACTTATTGAAATACAAGCCTCCGCTGTGAAAACTACTCTACAACACTTAACGAGTTTGTCTGCGATAGATGCCAGAAGATGGACAAAAAGT